TCCGTGGACAACCTGTCTCGAAGGCATCAAGTCATGAGAAATGGGCTGCTTATACAGTACACCTTCCCGTAGTGCTTAAAGCACTCGCTAGGCAGTTAACAATGTGACTCGATTAAATTCTGTAGGTCACATATTGCCCCTTCCCGCAAGTTGGATACTCAAAGTGGTACAGCTCTGGGTTTCGACGGGGGTGTCCCTCACAACTTGCCACGTCCTTCTCTGTTCTCGGTCCAGCGTGGCTTGTGGCTGAGAAATCCATGTTCTCTTCTCATGGGACAGCCGCCCGTTGCCAGAGAATGGTTTCAAGGAGATTCAAACAGATCCGCACCCGAGTCCTTCGGCTCAAGGTGCTTGCTGGTGCTTCTCACACTTCCCTCTTCCATCATCTCTCCTTACAAAGCCCTCCCGCCCCATCCTGAAAACATCCATGGCCCGGGAGCACTGCCAAACTCACTCCAAGAAGGACGAAGCCAAGAGTTAAACACAGCTGTGTTTTGGGCAGCCCGAGAATATCCAGGCTTGCGTTCGGAGGTGGGGCAGGAAGCGGCGCTGGGAAAAGACGGAGGGTGTCCATGAACAGGGGTTGGTGCGTCCCCAACAGAACTCAGAAGTAACTCATTACAGGCAACGTACTTACCTGTAACTAGTTACTTTCAGGAATGAAGGTGGTAATGAGTAATCAAAAAGATACAGTAAAAGTAATGTCAGAAGAAGCCACAAAGTTATTTTTTAGGTATAAGCAGGACTGAAATCCTGTTCTGCAGTTACTCAAATAGAGTAACTTTTAGAGGTGAATTGCTTTAAGTTAAGAAATCTCCGTAGTCATTATCTGTTGTACACAGAGTCATGTGGCTCAGCTTGATTAGGCATCCTTCAGTCTCGAGTTACGATGATAACGTGCTCTGAATGGAGGACTTGGAACAGCGTCTAGTGTGGCTGAGGAGGCCAATTCGAGAGTGACAAATCCTTCCACACTGAAAACAAATCCAATCTGTCCCCTGTCCAGCTCCCTGGTTTTGCTTCCTTTGTGACTTCCTCTTTGCCTCGGCCTGCTGGACAAGGGTCTCTTCAAATTGGGAGAGGCCGTGATGCACTGCCTGCCTCCAGGCTGAACGCTCAGATGTCAAGGTTTCCCATCTCTTGAGGTCCATTCCTAAGCCTTCAGATCCCGCTTGCAGAGATCCTTGTATCGCAGCTGTGGTCTCCCTCGGGGGCGGCTTCCCTGCACTAATTCTCCATACAGGAGATCTTTTGGAATCTGACCGTCAGCCATTCTCATGACATGCCCAAGCCAACGTAGACGTCGCTGTTTCAGTAATGTATTCATGCTGAAAATTCCAGCTCGTTCTAGGACTACTCTGTTTGGAACGTTGTCCTGCCAGGTGATGCCAAAAATCCATCGGAGGCAACGCATATGGAAGATGTTCAGCTTCCTCTCCTGCCATGCACAAAGGGTCCAGGACTCACTGCCGTACAGAAGTGTGCTCAGGACGCAGGCTCTATAAACCTGGATCTTGGTCTGTGTCGTCAGCTTCTTATTGAGCCATACTCTCTTTGTGAGTCTAGAGAACATGGTAGCTGCTTTGCCAATGCGTTTATCCAGCTCGACATCTAGAGAGAGGGTGTCAGAGATGGTTGAGCCAAGGTACACAAAGTCATGAACAACCTCCAATTCTTGTGTGGAGATGGTAATAGAGGGAGGTGAGTCCACACCCTGGCCCATGACTTGTGTTTTCTTCAGGCTGATTGTTAGTCCAAAGTCTTGGCAGGCCTTGCTGAAACGATTCATGAGTTGTTGGAGGTCTTCAGCAGAGTGGGCAACAATGGCTCAGCTATACAGCAGATAATGTCTACGGAGATTTCTTAACTTAAAGCAATCCACTTCTGAAAGCTACGCTATTTGAGTAACTGCACAACAGGATTTCAGTCAGCGATTGCTAATCATTTCCCAAAGTTGCTTCCTAATGCCCTTTTAGAAGCCTGTTGAGAAGAATGTTTATGCTGCTCTCTTATCAATCCTAAGTAGAAGGGGAACAACTTTTCGTTTGATCATTTGAAGTTTCATAAAAACACAATCTAAAACATATTGCAAGATACACTGTTAGATCCGGCTGCTGGAGTGAAACCGAGAATATTGCCCTGTGTTTTTCGCAGCGATACTAAACTTGTCTAACAAGAAGCTTATAACGACCCAACCATTTTTTAATTAAAAAAAAAACCATAAAATTCCAAGCTCATGTCTATAAACCTGGAGAATTTAGGAAGCACGGCGTTGGATTGCACTTTTAAAGAGCAAAATGGACCAGGAATAAAGTCCCAGATATCTTTTAACATCAAAGGCAGAAGATCCCACAGCACAAAGACCACAGCTCTCTGCATGTACAATATTTTGGATCCAAGAACCTTCTGATAAAAAAGCCTACATGGTCTTCCAGGTGAGTAACAGCTTCTGGCATTTCATCTCTCTAAATTCCTAATTAAAAATTTGAATTACAGCCATCTTCCTAGGTCTCTGGCAGACTAGACCAAATAGCATGGCAGCCATTGATAACCAACTGGCCAGAATCCCACCGGGGTTTGCCAAAGGTCTGCGTCAGTTTCTTGTCTGATTAAGGAGACACCGGGGTACCTCTCAGTGGCACTGTTCATCATGTTACCAGACACATAACTAGCACATTGCGTGACCCTTTCGCAATTCTGACCCATGCATCGTTTCAGAACCGAGGGGGCCGGTCAGATGAAAAGAAAAGAAAAACATCCTGTTCAGAGCACAGACCTGTCAGGGTGTCCCGTTATTTTAAACACAGAATTGGGAATTTGGAAAGAGTCTGTGAATCCATCAGGTCCAACCACCTGCTCGATACAGGAATACAAATCAAAGGATATCTGCCAGGTGGTTGTCTAAGTTCCTCTTGAATGCCTCCAGTGTTGGAGCGCTCACCACCTCTCGAGGTCATGGATTCTATTGCTGTACTCCTCGAACAGTTAAGAAGTGTTTTTTTGATATTCAAATGAAATGTGGCTTCCTGTAACTTGGGCTCATTGTTATGTGTCCTCAGATGATCCAGAACAGATCCTGCCCCTCCAGGGAATTACAGCCTTTCAAAACTGCCATCTTATCTGCCCTTAGTCTCCTCAATGTGCCCCAGTTCTTTCAGTCTTTCCTCCATACAGCGCTTGGTTTCTAGCCCCCTGATCATCCTTGTCGCCCTCCTCTGAACTTCTTCCAATTGGTTATCATCCTTCTTGAAGTGTGGCGTCCAGAACTGGATGCAAGACTCAACGGGAGGCCTAACCAGTGCTGAATGGAGGGGGACTAGTACCTCGTGGGATTTGGAAACTATACTTCTATTGATGCAGCCTAAAATAGCATTAGCCTTTTTTGTAGCTGCACCACACGGTTGGCTCATATTTAACTTGTGATCTACGACAATTCCAAGCTCCTTCTCGCTTGTAGTTTTGCTGAGCCAGGTTATCTCCCATCTTGTAACTGTGCAATTGGTTTTCCGAGGTGCAGGACTTTGCACTTCTCCCTGCTGAATTGCATTCTGTCGTTTTCAGCCCAGTGCCACAGCCTATCCAGATCATTTTGAACTTTGTTTCCGTTTTCCGGGGTGTTAGCGATTCCACCCAATTTAGATCATTTTGAATTTTGTTTCCATCTTCCGGCGTGTTAGCGATTCCACCCAATTATGTGTCACCCGCAGATTTGACAAGCATGCCTTGCACTTTCTCATCCAAGTCATTATCCGCAGATTTGACAAGCATGCCTTGCACTCTCTCATCCAAGTCATTATAAAAACATGTTGAAGAGCACCGGGCCCAGGACTGAGCCTTGGGGGGGGGGGGTTACCCCACTTGTGACCTCCTCCCAGTCTGAGAAGGAGCCATTTATCCCCTCCAAAATTCTCCCCGTCAGTCTCATCTTGAGCATCATGTCCTCTGACAGGTTAAGAGTGCTGGGTCACCAACATCCCAGACTGTGAGATTATAGTGCTCCAACCTGGTCCCAGGTGATGCCACAGAGAAAGAGGAGGGCGGGCAAAGCTGACAGATACCCCAGATTTGTTTTGGAGACAAAAGGAGAATCTTTGAGAAAGGGACTCAGAACTTAGGCAAAACCCATCCCTCTCTTCTTTTGGCGTTCTGCTTTGAGCGTCAACACAAAGGTTCAATACAAGCAACTTCATGGCCTGCCAGCTGAGCATGGGTAGAGAGAAGGGTGCGTTGCCTTTACAGCCACCTTGCCCATAAAAACAAACTTTTCCCTTCTTCCTCCAGGGCTGCTCACCCAGAGATCCTCTCCCACCTGCTCTTGAATGATCCCCTCCCACCTTCTCACCCTAAGCCTTCCAGGTCTACACATCCCTCTCAACACCGGTGTCAGAAACAGCCAAGGGGAGGATTTCCCAGGGATCTGGGACCAGGGTCTCCCAAGTCCTCCTGATCTGACCCTTGAGCTGCTCCGTACTGGCTGGCTGTCAAGAAGACCCTCACTCTAAATAAAGCGAGGTTTATTGGATTGGCTTTTGCAAAAAGGAGCGGCGAAGCGGCCGGTTGTCTTGCCGGAGTCCGGCCACGAGAGGGCGCGCGCGGCCCCTTGCCCAAAGATCCCCCCCTCCCCTCTCAAACTTTCCCTGGGAACTTTTTAAAACATCCCTCCAAGCGAAGGAGGAGGCGGGGGGGTGGGGGTGAAGAGAGAGAGAAACCTTTTTTTTGCAGATCGAAACAGTCCAGCCCTTTGGAGCTGCCTGGGGCTCCCCCCCACCCACTTCCCACCCCCCTTGAGTGCTTGCTCCGGCTTTACACCTCCCAGTCCCCCAGCTTTGCCCAGGAGACGCTGGTCGGTTGCAGGATTTGGGGGGAAAACTGCTTCGGGCATCTGGAACCCTGTTGCCTGCCTGGAAGCGTGAGACGGAAAGCTGCAGGAGATTCCCCATCCCATTCCCCCGTGGACCATGGAAGGCACCGCTGGAGAGCATCCTTGAGTGCTTGCTCCGGCTTTACACCTCCCAGTCCCCCAGCTTTGCCCAGGAGACGCTGGTCGGTTGCAGGATTTGGGGGGAAAACTGCTTCGGGCATCTGGAACCCTGTTGCCTGCCTGGAAGCGTGAGACGGAAAGCTGCAGGAGATTCCCCATCCCATTCCCCCGTGGACCATGGAAGGCACCGCTGGAGAGCATCCCTAACGAACTAAGCCGGCCTTTTTCTCTCCTTTGGCTTGGAAGGACTGGACTGGCAGGGGGAAAAAAGGACCCATTTTTTAAAAAAGCACATACATCTAATTTCTGCTCCTCTCTTGCAACCATGCTTTGCGGTAGGAGGGATTAAGAGGGTGCAAAGGAGACGAGCGGCCAGCCTGCCACGGAACCCTGCCTCCCGGTGAGTAAAGAAAGAACTTCATGGACAGCTCATGATTGCACAGCTGGAGGTGGTGGAAGGACCTCCGGAGCTCTCCATATCCATTTCCTCCCCTGCCTGCGAAATGGGAATAAGACACCTTGGGAAGGGACACCTTGGGTCATCCAGTCCACCCCCCCAGTCAAGGAAGCACAGTGGTGGTGGATGGGGTGGAATCAAATTCACAGCCTTTGGCCCTGCAGCCAGAGGCCGAAACCACTGAGCTGTGCAGCAGTTCATGAGGACAGCCGAGAGGGAGCAGGGGGCTTGGAATAAGAGGATAGGCGGTGGTGATGATGATGATGATACTGATGAAATAATGAGAATTCAATGTATTCGCAAAATAATGAGAATTCGGCTCACCCCTCCCTCCAATGTTGTGGCTTTTAATGGGGAAATGCTGAGTGGAGCAGGGCGACAGCCCAAGGAAAGAGGTGTGTGTGTGTGTGCACGGTCATGGTTGAATTTCTGCACTAGGTCTTCGGAGATCCAGGTTGGAGTCCCCTCTCGGGGATGCAAAGGGCACTGTGTGTGCCTGGGTCAAGGATTCAGCCAACGGGGCGAATGGGCTTGCACTGGTGTTGTGAGTTTGACCAAACTGGACTCTCAAGCCTGACCAGCAGTCCCGATGAGGAACCGAACTGGTCCCGGCTTGGTCAGAAGGTGCCAAAATTAGCTTCAGTGCCTGCCGTGAAAAAGAACCCCCTAGGCAGCAGGACTCATGCCAACCGGGGGGACCTACTACTAGCCAGAGGAGGCAACTGGGGGGTGTCGGTATGGGTAGACGGACCCATCAAGCGGTCTACGCCACTGCTGTGACCTGTCTCAATCTGCTGAAAAGTGTGGGGCCATCTCAGCTTCCCCCCCTTTTGCAAATCACCTTGCTTTCTTCTGCGATGGGTTTTCAGGAAGGAAACCTGGGCTCTGTTGGCAAGTCTCGATTTCTCAGCCGTCAACCTCTGCTGGACTCACAGGTCGGGGGCACCTGGGCAGGTTCCAGTCCGAGGATGGGCGGTTGTGCGTCAGGTGTCGCTTGATCCTTGTTTTGATGTCTTGTCCGCAGGAAACAAACAAACAACCGACGCTTTATGCTCTTTTTTTGCTCACAAGGAGCACGTTGGATAGGTAGCAGCTTGAGAAGGAGTCAGGCGGTGGATGTCCCCCAGGGCAGAACCTTCAGTGGATCGGGGTCTTGGACAGGGCAATCTTTCTGTTCCTCCCAAATCCCCCCTTTTCTGCCTCAAGAAGTGAGCCACCGACAGCCCCTTCCACCTGCAAAGTAGCCACTTTTCCCTGGACGAAGGCTGCCTTCCTGCTGGTTTTCTTCCACCGGGAGCTGGAAGTCATTATGGCTTTCTTAACTTTGAACCCAACAGCAGATTCCCCAGCCTCGTCTCCTTCCTCCACCACCGATCCGTTTGTCTCACCTTATCATCTGAAACAATATTGAAGTTTCATTTCTTGCTGCTACCTGCGGTCAAGTCTCCTTCGACTTAATGGCAACTTTATGAAAGAGCAATCTCCAAAAGATCCTGCCCTCCGTCGCTCAGCTCTTGCAAACTCAGGCCTGTGGCTTCCTTTAGCGATTTAGTTCATCTCGTTTTGGGTTTTCTTGCCTCTTTTCCTGCTGCCGTTCACCCTTGTGAATCCTGCCTTTTCGAGTGAATCCTGCTTTCTCGTGATGGGCCTTAAGTAGGACAGACTCAGTTTTAACCTCTTTTTTTGCCTCCAGAGAGAAAGAGAGAGAGAGTTCAGGCTTGATTTCTTCCGGGACCCACTTGTTCGTCTTTTCTAGCCGTCCAGAATAGCCACAAAGCCCTCCTCCAGAATCGCATTTCAAAGAAATCCATTCCCCCCCCCCCTGTCAACTTTCTTAACTGTTTAGTGAGGAAATATCCCAGCTGCCTAAACTTTGTGCGTCTTGCAGTTCCTGGGCAATTCTTCATTTATTTCTTGCTTGGCTACCCCTCCGGACGAAACGGTCTAGTACACTCCGTGTTAAGTCCACCTTCCGAGTGCTCCTCACTTTTATATTTGTCCATGTTAAAGTCCGCGACTCTGTTGTGCATTGCAGGATCAAGAACGCAGAGTAAAGGACGATATATTCTCAGACCCAGTTTTTAAGTTTTTTTTTGTAAACCGCATTCCTCGTGTTAAAGAAGCTGTTCCCGGTCCTCTCGGTCCTCTTGCATGGCGATGAGGTTGCTGTTCAGTCAAGGCAATCCCAAGGGCCAGGCCAGATCCGACCTCTGTGGTCGGAGCATTACGGGGTCAGCCTGGTGGGCCGTTTCCTGGCTTCCGTCTCCGCCGTGTTCGGGTTTTGCTTAAGGGCCCTGCTGGTCCAATTAGTACCAAGTGCCAGCTTGAAGGTTTCGTAACTGTGGGCCAGAATGGGTAGGGCTTTTTATTCCTGGAAATCAGAAGCGCCGGCCAAATGCCCTGAGCCCGTAGCCACACTGCGCTCCCGGGCGGAGGCAAGCGTGCGCGGGGTCAGCGGTAGAACGAACGAGCGCATCTGATCTTCTGGCTACAGGTGGTGGGACTGACCTTTCTGGGAGACCCTGTTTGCCCTCCGAGCAGGCGGCGTTCGGCCAAAAGAAGGACCAAGAGAGGGAGAGAGAAATATTTCCCTCAAGGAAGGAAGGAAGGAAGGAATTAAAGCATCTGATCTTCTGGCTACAGGTGGTGGGATTGACCGTTCTGGGAGACCCTTTTGCTCTCAGAGCAGGCGGCATTCGGCCAAAAGAAGGAGCAAGAGAGGGAGAGAGAAATATCTCCAGGAAGGAAGGAAGGAAGGAAGGAAGGAAGGAAGGAAGGAAGGAATTAAAAGATCTGGGCAAAACTCCCCTGTCTTTTTCACCTTTCTTCTTGGCCCACGGTAGGAACACTTGGGAGATGCTTGTCCCTCCTCCGTCCTAAAGACCTAAGAAGGCCTTTAGGGCACTGATTTTTATTTATTTATTTATTTATTTGTTTGTTTGTTTGTTTGTTTGTTTGTTTGTTTGGTGCTGAATGCATTTTTCTCTTTTGTGAGAAAATGGCAATTCTACAGTATATAAAAGATCATTTATAACACTGGCTCTGATTTCACAAAGGGCTCTATCTGTCTTGCAAGGCTGTGTTGAATCCATGCTGTGGCCTATCTGCTGAGGCCATTGAAGCCTGGTTTGCAGGATCAAAGCCTCGTCATGCCTTTTCCATTAGCAGAAAGGATGACTTTCTCTCCGTCTTCTGTCTAAGCTTAGCTGCAACTCCTCGCGGGAGTTGGAACACAAATGGATTTTCCCCAGGAATGACGCATTGTACTAGAAACTGCCTCTGTTGGAAGTCAGAGTATTTGAGGGTGGTTTTCCCTTGAATGGGCAATTAAGAGCCATTAACTTTGCAAAAGACCTGCCCTCGTGGAAACAACAATTCAAAAAAAATCATTGGTTGATATAGCTCCATCTAGCCACCGGTGTGTTTGGGCTCTTCTTCTGCAGAGGTCAGTCGGTTTAGCTGTGGGAATTAATACAAGGAGCCTGCAGGTTTCCAAATTTACCTCTATATCACTGAAAACGGTCATTCTGTATAGAGGCATATAGGAAGTCCTGCACTTCTCAGTGAACTGTTGTTTGATAGTATTCTCATTTTTTGAGGTTCTTCTCTCCCTTCTGGTTCTTAAATGGTCTCTCTACCTTATAGGCAACCTGTCATTAGAAGGAAAAAATCCTTAAATGCTGAAAGACTGTCCTAGCAGGAGCTTTTCCCACCTCCTGTAGCTTGCCAGTTAGCTTTCTTTGTCTAGTGATTGGTCATCAGGAAGCAATCCCAGCTCCCTCTGCAAGGCTGATTGCTCAGTTAAGACAGCGTGCCCAAATCCCCGTGTTACAGTAACACGATTTCAGCACTTTTGTGATGCGCTGTCTCTAATGTACATTGACACAGGGTTACAGGCAGTAGGAACTCTTAAGCTAAAATGTGCTGGCCTCCTCGGCCCCACCCATGTGCCTTTGATCCTTCTTTTGATCCTGATTTGCCCTTGACTCCGCCCACCAGTGGTATGTGCCCCCCCCCCGAAGAATGGTCTCGAGATCGAATTCAGCCCTTGGGTGGGGAGAAGCTTTGCCGTACAGCTTGAAGGAGGGACAGGTTGAAGGGTGAGACCCGGGAGTGTAGCCAAACCTCCGCGCATGGTGTGCGCCTAGGGTTTCTTCACAGTTTTGCACCTGCGTGGCGTATCCTGCACCCGTTTCTGACCGGATCCCTTTCCCTCCACTTTCTGCAGACAAAGAGATGGAAAGCAAAGCCATGTACCTGCACACCTTCGGGGAGAAGGAGAACGGATCCATCTTGGAGGAACCGTTTGAGGGGAAGAACCTCTCCAAACTGAATCTCTGTGATGACGGTGAGTGCCCAGAGTTGGAAGCTAATTCAGAAGTTTGAGACGGTGCCGTTTTCGAGAACCGAGGGGTGGTGGTGGTCTCTGGCTAAGGACGCCAAGGAACGAGTCCATGGCAAATTCCAGTGTGAGTAGACCTGATCCAGACCTCTGGGGATTAAGGAGCTCCAGCTCAGTGGCAGAGCTCCTTCTATAACAGGGTTTTCCAGGTAAATGAGATACATTTCCAGGTTAATTAGATATGTATTGCTTTTGCCGGTGTCTCCTCCCTTGCAAGTTCTCGTGGCTGAAGAACGTCCACTGCTGTATCCGCCACAGGGCATCAGTTACTCGTGTGTCTCATCTCGATATAGGAAACCTGCTAGTTTAATTTTTGGGATGTTCCTCACGATCCGACGATCCCTCTTGTTCTTGTGCTTTCTTCATGCACGCACATTTTCCTAATGCATGCATTTTGCTTAATAGATGCATTCTTCACATAGGCTCCCCGTCGACTAAGGGATGTTTGTGCGCAGGGTTCATATTTATGCATATATTTTTGTTTGTCATGTTTATTTATTTGTGTGTCACTTGGGAAAGAAAAGAACACGGCGCTCATAGCATCCTCGGCAAGAAAGCTCCCAGCTGGCCGTGGGGCCGGAACAGGAAGCTTAGGTGGAACTAGGCCTAGCTGGGCCCCAGAGCTTTCCAGCTGAGGCCTTTACCAAAAATCCGTCGTAGGCAACGCATATGGATCCAGACCTCTGGGATTAAGGAGCTCCAGCTAAGTGGCAGAGCTCCTTCTATAATAGGGTTTTCCAGGTAAATGATACGTTTCCAGGTTAATTAGATATTTATTGCTTTTGCTGGTGTCGCCTCCCTTGCGAGTTCTCGTGGCTGAAGAACGTCCACTGCTGTATCCGCCACAGGGCATCAGTTACTCGTGTGTCTCATCTCGATATAGGAAACCTGCTAGTTTAATTTTTGGGATGTTCCTCACGATCCGACGATCCCTCTTGTTCTTGTGCTTTCTTCATGCACGCACATTTTCCTAATGCATGCATTTTGCTTAATAGATGCATCCTTCACATAGGCTCCACGTTGGCTAAGACATGTTTGTGCGCAGGGTTCATATTTATGCATATATTTTTGTTTGCCATGTTTATTTATTTGTGTGTCACTTGGGAAAGAAAAGAACACGGCGCTCATAGCATCCTCAGCAAGAAAGCTCGCAGCTTGCCGTGGGGCCGGAACAGGAAGCTTAGGTGGAACTAGGCCTAGCTGGGCCCCAGAGCTTTCCAGCTGAGGCCTTTTCTCCCAGGTGAGCCACAGTTTGGGGTCTCTCAGGTGGGCCTTCCAGAAGGGGGAACGGGTGAGATGTTCTTGTCCCCCAAAGCCTGAAGTCCTATCCTTACAGCCTCCGGCGAGCAGTAAATGGTGAATGCAAAACCCCGCTCTTGGCATCACGGAGAAATGTGTGGATTCACTCTGCAAGCGTGACTGGAACTCAGTGCTTGGAAGGGTTTTGTTTCTACAACTCCCAAGCTGGCTGCCCCTCCTCCCCACCTTCATCCTTCTTGCTTCTGCTCCTTCCAGCCTGCCTTAAACCTGCTTTTCTTCCTCCCCCTCCCACCCTTGCACATTCAGTGGAAGTTCCTCCTCACTTTGGCGATGCCAAAATGTTCTAAGAATAGTGCAGCTGGTGCAGAAACCCTGCTCACGCTTTTTGACATGCGAGCATGCTTTAAATTTCCGTGGCGCGAGCTGTCCCCCTCGGCATCAGATGTCAGCCTCCTGGCCAGGAGCGGGCACTCCGAGGGCTTGGAAATGAACACAGGGGCATGTGGCCGTGACTCCCGCACCGTGCGCCAGGAGGATTCCTGTTTTCTATACCAGAGGCGGGCAGGGTTGTGGCAGCTCCCTCTCCTGCCAGGAGGTGTCCCCGTGTGGTCCGGCGGGGCACAAGGCTCGGCGGTTGACCTTTTCTGCTCCCTGGTGAGGTCAAGACGATGCTGGAAACTGGAAACGGCAAGATGCTTTAAACGTGTCCTGCCTCAGAGGAAGCTTGGGTTGCCCATCAGCCTGGCCGTTCTGCCTCGAGGCTGATGGTCTTCGCCCTTGCCGTGAGCCCCGGCGATTGGCAGGGCGCCCTTGCAAACCGGATGATCAAAGTTGTGAGCGGAAGGAAGAAGTCCAACCTCAGTCCAGGCAGAAAAGACACTCGCTTGAAGGTGGTCTCCAGTCGACGAGACGCCTCAAGAAGTTCATGTCCGACGAGTCTCTTCGGCGCCACGCAAGCGTGAGAGAAAGAGTGCTCTTCCTCCCCACCCACCCGTGATCGTGAATGTGTGCAAATGGCAGGCAAAACCAGGGTCTTTTGTCTCTGAAAAGCAAATGATGTCTCAGTTGTCACACGGGGAGGTCAGCAATCCCACCGGTGCTGCTGATCCTGCAAAGTCCAGGCAAGGAGGCAGCACCGGCCAGACGGAGGGCAGAGAGGAGAGCCCTTTTCAAAGACTTGAAAGGCTGCCCTACAGAGGAGGGGCAGGATCTGTTCTCCATCATCCCCGAGTGCAGGACAGGCAACGATGGGCTGAAGCTGCAGGAAGTCTGAGATGATGGAGAACAGATCCTGCCCCTCCTCTGTCTGACAGCCTTTCAAATATTTGAAAAGTGCTTTCCTCTCTCTCCCCTCAGCCTTTTTTTTCTCAAGGCTAAACCTGCCCAGTTCTTTCAGCCTTTCCTCCTAAGGCTTGGTTTCCAGCCCCCTAATCCTCCTTGTCGGCCTCCCTCTGGACTTGTTCCAATTGGTCATCCTCCTCCTTGAAGTGGGGTGTCCAGAACTGGAACACAGGACTCTAGAGGAGTATTCAGTCCCCCTTAGTGCTGAAGTAGGGTCTGACCCTCCTTCCTCCATCCCCAATTCCATGGGTGGATCTCAAGATGATGCAGAAGCGACTGGATTTAGTGTAACTGGGGACGGAGCAAACCGAGCACAATGTGCTTCCTTTGGGTCACATCCCATCCCTTCCCCCAAATACTTCTGAATCTCCGAGAACCCTTCAGGTATGCCCCCCCCGATCCAGTCTCTGCCACGGCTTCCTTTAATAGGGTGGATGGTGGTCTCCCTCCACTCGCACCTCCACCGCCGAGACGGTCCTCGATGCCCACACCGAGGGCAGCGAGGACCACCCTCGTTCTTGCTGGTGGACTCTCGTTCCACAATGAGCCGTTGGCGTTCCTGCTTCCTCCAGCGCCACGGCTGGGTTTTAGTGGTTTGGTCGGGCTGAGCTTCAGAGGGCCAACCTCTCGGCTCTCCGCGTTCCCTTTCTGCCCAATAACCAGGCTGTGGAAGGAAGAGGCTTTGGGGTCTGGGTGGCTCTCAGCTCCTTCCCGGGGCACCCTTAACTGTCGTACAATGACCCTGGTCCAGGGATCTTCCTGATATCCATACTCCCAGCTGCCCGGGGGTGGGGGGGCGGGTTCCGGCTCTTCTGGGAGGTCTTACTCTCCTTGATATCCCTGTCGAGAACGCCTCGTCGCCCCCAGCCCCCTCTCCTGAAGCCTCTTCTACTATCATGTCAGCAGAGAGGTCTCTTATCTGCTCAGCTTTCTCTCTCTCTCTCTCTTTCCTCCCTTCCTCCGGGTCTCTCTCTTCCTGCCTCCCAGGCCTCCTTTATATCTCCCGGCTCCCAGATGTCAGTTTGCACCCTCCTCCTCTTCGGGTCATGGTGGAATTCTCCTTTGCCCAGATTCTGGGCTGGCCTTGCCTTCCTGGAGACCACCTTAAGGGTTCTGGACTCTTGGGCGGTGGGTGCTCTGCCCTGGGTTTCTGAGGTACCCCCTCCCGTTCAGCCCAGAGAGTATCGCTTGGGGTTTCCCAGGGAGCTGCTATGTAACCAATTCATAAAAACATAGAATCGGAAGGGTTCCGTAAGGTCATTGAGTCCAACCCCTCTGCTCAGGGTGTGAATTCAAAGCAAAGCGAATCGGATGGAGGGTTGCCTAAGATTCCTCTCGAAGGCCTCCAACCTTGGTGCGCTTGCCACCACCTCTCGAGGTGACCCGTTCCATTGTCGTACTGCTCTAACAGTTAAGAAGTTCGTGTTCAGCCGAAATCTGGCTTCCTGTCACTTGAGCCCACGGTTGCGTGTCCTGCACTCGACGGATCCTGTCCCTCCTCCATAGGAGAGCCTTTCAAGTCTTCAAAAAGGGCTCTCCTCTCTCTCCTCCATCTTCTTTTCCCCAGGCTAAACATGCCCAGTTCTTTCCGTCTTTCCTCCTCCAAGGGCTTGGTCGCCCAAGCTCCGGGAAAGGGGGTGGCAGGCAACCCACCCAGTGGGGCACCCCCTGCTGGTGTTTCCCTCCTCCCGTAGGGCCGTTTCTTCCTTCTAATGTGCTCCTTATGCAGTATTTAACAACAGCAGCCATGCTCCGGAGGCTCTGTTCAAGGACAGGAGCTACACCTGTTGAATTAGGCTGGTGGGGGAAAAAGGGGTGAGATTTTCATTCGGTTCCATTACGAGGAGAACTTGTTCAAAGGCCCAGATTTCTTATACAGCGGTGCCTCGCTAGACAGTTACCCCGCATGACAGTTTTTTCGCTAGACATTGACTTTTTGCAATCGCTATAGCGATTCGCAAAACAGTGATTCTTATGGGGGAATTTCGCTGGACAACGTTTGGTCCCTGCTTCGCAAACTGATTTTCGCTAGATGATGATTTTGACAGCTCCCTCCGCACTCGCAAAATGAGTGTTTTTGGGATCTAAGTTTTGCAAGACAGCGATTTAAACAGTGGATCGGCAGTTCGCAAAGCGGCTTTCCTATGGCCGATTTTCGCTAGACAACAATGACTCTTCCCCTTTGGGACGCATTAAACAGGTTTCAATGCATTCCAATGGGGAAATGCTTTTCGCTAGACGATGATTTCGCTAAACAGCGATTTCAGTGGAACGGATTATCATCTTCTAGCGACTTAGTAAGAAACCAACGGCTTTTTCTCTTGACTGTGACCACCTCCCTGAGG